TGATGACATCGCCATAAGTGAACGCATTGCTTTCTCCCTTCGCTAGAACTGTTAGAGTCCGGTGGCGAGGGAACAGTGGGCCGGGGTAGCCAATCGGTTCGTGGCTGGAGGAACGATTAAGGCTTTCCCATGCCGCCACAGGCGTGTCCCTGGTCCGCGAACGCGCTACATTTCGTTCGCTTGGCGCGACTTATCTTTATGTAAGGCATTTGTGCCTTTTGCCATAGGACAATTTAACGTTCCACCTGCCCAAAACTCGATTAATTACTTACGACTGACTACCCAGGAAAGAACACAACTAAAACTTCATGAGACTAACTAGATATCACTAGTGAACTGTACACTGGCAAAAGCTTTGCTCCAGACAGGATTGAAACCTGCATCCAGCGTCAACCGTCTTTCGGTCAAGGTCCAACGAGGAAGTCGTATTTGCGATTTTGGGAAGGGGGTCGTATTAAGTGTTGACGAATGTCAAAATGTGGAAGGAGGGACGTATTTGTGAAAGATGGAGGGTTGTGGGGAAAAGGATCGTTTTGATGTTTTTTTTTCAATATTTCAGGGAAAATTCAAGAAGTAAACATAGTAAAAATTAAAGGAATTTGAGTTGCCGCTTCATCAGACCTGTACATCCCTAACCTACCCCCTCCCCCCCCCCACCCTCTACCGCTCTCCCAATCGCAGCCGTTTTGGGCTGGAAAGGTGTCGGAATAGGGTTGTGTCGGCTGCACTGAGAATCAAATACTATAGAAACAGCTATGATGGTGGAAGTGATGGTCTAGGGTGGGGATAGGGGGCCGTATGGGGAACAGGACCCTCCTAGGGCTCATGGTGGGGGGGGGGGGCGATCATACTGAGGCTCCCTTGGGATGGGTTGTAAAAAATTTCGAAATCGAACCAACGTGACGATAGATCCTGCCCGCACCTCTCACTTCAGTGAGGTGCGGAGTTGATTCACGTTGGGGCGAAGTTTTTTTTTGCCTACAACCCGAACTCCAACTAGTAATAAATTTCCCATGATGAACTGTGATCGAAAACAGCAGTTGACGATCAAAAACAAGTCAAAATGCTGACTAGCTGGTTTCTAAGTGAGAAGAGGCCGTAAAGAAAGCAAAACATCCCACGTATAGATAGTACTACCGTCATTCCCTAATGATTTACCCTTATTTTGGCTTGTAATGAGAAAACTGGCTTCAAATGCACCTCCTTAAGAAGATGTGGAAGTTACTAACTTACTCACATGAAAAAAATTTATGCTATTGAAGAGCGCTATCTAGTTCCAGGGTGGAAGCTGGAACTATTAGCTCAACAATGATCGTTCCGGATGAGCGTGGTATGATAGAAGCCGCTCTTGTCCAAATGAGTGCTAACAGTGGTGCGTCGAGTATTCTTTTCGCGAACCAGCTTTTCGATTTTGGTTCTACAAGAAGGGTCCAATTTTGTGATTTTATAAGATTGACCTTCAGATGTCATCATCACCACTGGTGGAACGGGATTTGGAAAAAGGGATGTTACACCAGAGGTGAGCGAATGTTGCCTTGATAAGCGATTATAACTGTACGCGCATTGCAAGCATTCTGTTAGAAACGGCAGCTGGATCATCTGAAAAATATTTCTATCTCCCAACATCGTCCATTCTCGCCAACACAGGGTGAAGCGGACTGATTAACTGGTTCTGAACACTTGATGAGGTCAAAAGCATGAGTTGTTTGCATCATCCATCCATTTCCAAGAGTGGTCGAGGGTGGGGATAAGGGGCCGCGTTATGGGAAGGTCTACCCTTTAAGAGCTCATGGTGGGAGGGGTCATTTCGAGTCCCCTTGGAAGGGGTCGTAAAAAATTTTGAAATCGAACCAACGTGACGGTTGACCCTACCCGACCCCACAATCAGATTTGAAATCAGAACCTAGTGAACTGATTGCGCATTTAGCCTAGACTTGTGGATTTCCCTACATAAATCTATTCCCAATTAACCTGATAAAAATTGCGGTCTCATAGGGGTGTATGGCTTGTATGTCCATTGCGCTAGCACCTCTACTGTGCCCATCACACTTCCTTCCTGTTCAAAGGAAATATGTAACGGAAAGACAACTCCTCAGTTGCTTATTTTCCTAAAGCAGTCTTTGAATTGATTTTTTTTCACAGTTTGGTTACAGGAGTGATCTCAATATGATATAATTAGATATCTTTTCCCATCCAGTTTTCCCAAAAATAGAAGGACCTAGACAAACAGCAAATGCGATATACATACACTCTGTCTGACAAACAACACGTGATCCTAAAATATCGTGCAAGGTTTGGCACATCATTGCCGGAGGAAAAGTGAACAATCGAGAGGATCTGAGCAAAGGGGCATGTAGGGATTTTGGTATCGTGTGGCCGTAGAGCAAAAAGTGACATTGGAGCACTTTTTGTTAGGGTTCCATGGAAAGTGTGGGAGGGAAGTGGCCAGTACAGGAGGAATTGTCAAGGCTTTATTTCCAACATAAAACTGTAAGAGGAGGACAAGAAACTTAGAACAAAGCTAAAAAAGGTTCTGCTCTCTTACGGAGTGAGACTCACGAATTACCATCTGATCTCTCATCGAAGGCACAACCTGGAAGGCAGAAGTAGTGGAACGATCTCCTTCGTTATAATAATAGACCCCAACAACAATGTGCACTCACCCAATTCCAGGAATCATTATTGGGTCACGCAAATTTGTCCTTAAGCCCTGCCAGAGATAGCTTCATCTGCTTCAATTTTTTCCCGTCCGCAGCGGCGTGTTGTCTGGCGCCCTCTCATCTGTTGCGCTCTCTCACCTCATACTCTCCAGTCTGCCCCTCCGCACTTGCTCAGTCTCATATTGCCTCAGCACAGCCGCTTACAAATTCCTTTCTATTGGACTATATTTGTGTGGAGACTGTCACCTAGGGGACGGTGCAGTAAATGTTCAATTACAATGCTGCTGAAATTGCAGCTCCCATATGTACCAAAAAACCAGGCGTTAGCCGATCTATATCTTTGCGAATCGCGCGATTCGCTACTAGCGATTCGCGCGATTCGCTAGGCGCCCGCGGTCGCGTTGCGGTACCAGCCAATTGAGTGATTCACTGGCCGCGACGCGACCGCAGACGCTAGCGAATCGCGCGATTCGCAAAGTCTGACATCGCCTTGAGCATTTAATGCATTGTTGATCTCACCTGCTCAAGAAATTTACGAGCCCTACTCTTCTGCCGTTGTCAGGCGAATCTTCAAACTCCTAGCTCGTTTCCGCTTTTTCTTTTCACTTTCACTTTCACTCACTATGCTCGTTCATACCAGTATTTCCGTTCGTGTGTATTACCGCGCATCACTTGACTCTCTTAGCTTGCCTGTAATGAGTACCATGGGCATGACTAGAATTTTCAACCTGCGATCTAAAGCTACCTTAAAAAGGAACCTTTATGGTTGAAGCTGTCCTATTCGGCTAGTAGTTACCCCTAACCCGGATATGGTCTATTTCGGCTCTTTCAAATTCGTATGGACTCTACAATTTCCCTCGCGGTATTTCTTTTAGTCGGGCCAATCCTGGGGTTTTCCTCTAAGGCTAGTACCGGAAAAAAGGTATTATGGGGTGTATATGACCTTGTCGCCGGCTCCCATTCGGCGCTATTTGGCTCAGGCCAAGATTGAGCTCAGGTTGGCTCTAGCTTAATACTCCCCATTTCATATAACTTTGTACGAGAAGTGGGAATTTCACCGCAGCCATTCGATGTAGAAAAACCGTGAGACGATGTGTTTGGCCTTTATCGATTTTGCTGAATCAAACCAAGCACTAAGCACAGTTTTTGCATCCTCATTGGGACACATAAATGGCATTTGAGGCATAAAGGGCACACTTCGTCACCAAAAGATGGCGTTATTTGCACGAGAAAGGGAAGAGAAGCGCGAAGGGGATCGCTACGCGAGGAAAAATGATTAATCGGTACACCGAACGATCTAACTCCAGTTGCTTTATTGTGGAGACAGTGTCTGATGACAAGAGAAGTCCTTACTCGTAGGAGAAACATGCACCGCCAATAACGGTGGCGGAAGCGACGCAGTCATTCTGCTTTGTGGAGTTGCTTACGGAAAATTACTGGCTGCAGAAAGCAGAAAAAGCCCTTTTCTCTTTTTCTGTCCTTAATTCATCGTGAAAGCCACGGGTGCCCTCTTCACATTTGTGAGCAACTCTAGCGTGTCCCTACTGGAAAGACTGATCATATAGCTCGTTATTGATTATCCTTGATATTTGAAGCCCTAGCCCGGTTGATATTCATTGTAGTTTCTTTGGTTCTCTTCGCAGCTTCTAACAAGTGGACTGTCACGGGGGGGGGGGGGGGGGGGGGGGGGGGGGGGGGGGCGAGGGTTACTGACGTGATAGGATTAAATCTCGTGTTGATCTGACGAGGCGCCGGAATAATTGTCTTGGGAAGTGCCACCGCGTACGCACGGCGCGCGTCGTCGTCTGCCGATGGATCCTGGTCAGTCGCCCGGGCCAACCAAGCCTTCCATCCCTCCGGGGTCGGTTAATTGGTACCAGACTTGTCTGGGAGGATAAAAACACTGACTTGTACATCGGCTGGCCCCGCAAGTCATTGTATAGGCCACATCGCATTCAAACGCCACTGCGAATGTACAAATGGAAGTAGAGCCAGCATCCCAAAAAGGGATTAATCAACTGCAAATGCTTTACCCTACAGTGCACTGCACTCATAACTGTCATTTTATAGCCCACAAAACTTCCTTGTAAGTGGAGAGCAACACCTTTAGGTACTGGTCTATCCCGTCTCGTCATCGGATAAGCCATGCAAAGGTCGAGTGACAGTTCAGCGATGGACTGACCAGACAGGGTGTGGCAAATTGTCAGTGCGATAGGCATCCACTTCTCAAGTACAGTGCACTGCACTCATAACTGTCATTTTATAGCCCACAAAACAAGTGTTGACAGATCGCCGACTTGTAGCACTTTCAGGAGAGAAAAGTAGTCGCGCCCAAGTTGATACGAAACAAAATGACCATCAGTTTTTTCTCGCTTTTGAAATATAATGAGCTATCTGGCTAATTCAACCTACATATGAGAATAAGATGTGTGGGTTCTGTCTTTTTATTGTTTCTTCTTTGATCTCATCAGGAAAGTTTCCATTGGACTTTGAATGGACCTAGTAATTGATAGAGCCTAAGTCGATAGAGCCTAAGAGTCTAGTTGGTTACAAATATGAAAAACAAAACTGGTAATTGTGTAGGCCCAATCGCATTTGAATCGAATTCGAACTTGCCGAGGAAATTGTCCGCGATCAAGTTGACTGTTAGTGGCTGACAATGATCTGGACGTCTCAGGACATCTGTCAACCGTGAGCCTTGGCGGTTCAGCGTTTTGTAGTGATGTCTGGGAGCTCTCACAAGTGCACACTATCACAGCATCTCCTCTTTCTTATCTTCTTCAAAAGGCTTAGTCCCAATAAGACACAAAGTGTGTGCTTTTCCAGCTACGCTCTCACCCTTGTTGACAGAAGCCTTGTAGAGTCTGGCCTGTTCCCGTGCGTGTAAAGTAATGTCAATAATGGTCGGTTAATATGTCATTGTCTATAATATTTTATTCATGGCATTTTTTTTCTCAATTAATCGGCTGTTCAAGTATTTACTATTTTTGTGTCTTTCAACCTGTTTTTTCTTAATCTCCTGAGTCCCAGAATTGAAGGTCCTCTACAAATGTTCCCGCAAAAGCATTGCCTGAAATATTTTTCCATGTATTTTTTTCTCAATTATACAGTCGCTCTTAAGAATTAAAATGTTGGGTCTTTCAATCCTTTTCTAATCTCTGGGTTCCAAGGATTAAAATCTCTGAAAGTGTTCAGCTGTCCTTCATATCATATTCATATTCATATCTTCTTGAGGAAGAAAAATTGTGCACGAAAGACATTTCCTGTTAATAATTTGGCCATCACTGTATTCGAACGGCAAAATTTGATTTCCCTTCTTTCAGGCGACTTTGAATGTGGTGGAACGCCGTTGTACAGGTCTCGAAGTCGCTATTCATAGACACTCGTTGGAGGCGACCCCGATGGCAGCATTGAGTCGGGCCATTGCTGGCATCCGTGACTCCACACTTATTGTAAATTTCCCAGGGAGTGTGAAAGCTGTTAAGGTACCGGTCCTCAGATAGCGCCATACTATCGGTGCCTCTCAATTCCTTCGATTTCAGGAGTGCTGGGAGGTCGTAGAACCCATCCTTCATCACGCTGTCGACCTTCTACGCAATCGCGACGACGGCAGCTTGCATGCGGCTATGGCTAAGTAAGCCTAATCAAGAGCTACATATCACGGACATCCGAAACATTGAATGCTTTTGAATGACGCTTAATTATGCTATGCTTAATTATAGCTTTAGTCATCGCCATGCATTTGTGAGGTGATTCCGAGGGCAGAGAAACCCGGAATTCACCAAACGTATGGTAGTTCTGTGATATTGTGAAATGTGTTCTGATGCATGTGTTTTTGTTTTGGTGCAATAGTAAGTAAATAAATAGCTAAATTAACAATATTGTCTAGTTTGAGACACAGCCAGTGATCACAATTTCGTTATTAAAGGATTTCCGCGGAAAAGCTCCGCCTCCACTACCACAGAAAAACGATACCCCTTACCAGGAAGGTCTTTCAGGACATGGAGCCCTTTTTGAAAACGGTTTTTTGCATGATAAAGGGGCACATGCATGGAGTACAAAACTAGGCTCCATTTTTTCTGAGCGGCCCTCTGAATGCCAAAAAAGGAGTGAAAAAAATTTCTTCAGAAATCGGAGTTTTCACACCTTCAAC